CACACACACACACACACACACACACACACACACACACACACACACTGAGAGCAGGTTTATGGGTCAAACAACATTCAGCCTGCAGCTAAACAGAGATGAGAGGTTTCCTGTTTCAACCCACTCTGACACACATGAATAATTCATGTAGCACACACACACACACACACACACACACACACACACACACACACACACACACACACAGAAACTTAGCTTGTTTGTGTGATTGTACAGATGTGTGTGTGAAACACATACTATATCAAACTGAACTACATCACATTAAATTACTGTCTGTGTGTTTCATGTGTGAATATGCATGTGTGTGTATGCATGTGTGTGTGTGTGTGTGTGTGTGTGTGTGTGTGTGTGTGTGTGTAATATGTGTGTGTTGTGCTAATTGTCTGGCCTCCTCAGATATTTAAATGTGAACAAATGGACTTGGATTCATTAAGACACGGAGAAAAAGTCCCCGTTAAATTTTGATGTCAACTGTGAATCTTTCAGCACCAGAGGGCCAACCGAGCTTGTTAGACGTGCACGTGAGAGTGCACGGCACAGGCGTGCGCTCACGCACACGTTTTTGCGGGCATGAATTATCTAGCCATGACATCAAATATTAACGCAGACATCAGCTCTGATCTGCATCAGCGGTTCATGTGCCGGAAAAGAAAAGACCCAGAAAGAGAGAAAAACTTCACGTCTGGGGGTCACCTGAACCCCTCGCATCATCTACATCACATGAGTCAAACTCAAGGCCCACGGGCCAAATGTGGCCCGCCATGGCATTTTATGCGGCCTGCGAGAGCGTGGCTAAAGCATAACAGTCAAGACTCTGGATTTACTATTACAGTACTGTACGTTGGCAACATAGAGAAAAAAGGACTGATGATGTAGAAATCATAAAAACTAATAATATTAACAAGATTATTATTATGTTATAGTTTATAAAATCTATCTAATGTTTTAAATAATGTCAGAAAAGCTGTTTGTGTTATGAATTTATTAACAGAATAGAAGCAGGAAACCATCTCATTTCACAACACAAGTCAGCAGATTTGATCTTATTTAGCTCAATGTGATCTGAGCAGAACATAATGTAACAGTTTAAAATTAAAATAATCTTATAAAGTCCATGTAATCACTGTTATTTATTTCATCCTATAACCAGGTATACAGAGAACATTTTCTAAGTGATGACTGGTAAGTATTTCTCATTAAATTTTATGACAGTAAGAAATAATAAATATATTTTATTACTTGTTGAAGTCACAATTTTATGAGGTACTGACTGACTTCAGGTCTGATAAATTGTTAATTATAAATTATATATTTTTCTGGTAKAAATCTGCTGTTTTACATGATTGTTGAATGAAATTAACATAATTATTAATTAATTGTAAAAAATTTACAGATAATTTGTTAAACAGATCCAGTTGCTGTTAATCTAATAGTTGCTATGATGACTGTTAATTGTTGTTTTGTTTGGTCACCGTTTCTGCTCCTACATGCTGTCACAGATTTCTAACAGTGGACGGGAAAGGCGTGGTTCAGGCTAGGGTTATTAAGTCTATGGTTTAAAAGTTAAAATAATGCCATGTAAAATCTCCTTTTTATTGCATTTTCACAGACTACTTTTGCCATTGCACTGGTAAGTGGGAAATTCCCACTTACAAGTTGTAAATTTAAGCTGAGATGCAAACTCTAGTGGAAATTCCACCTGAAAGTGGGTGTGTTCTGAATTCAAGATGGCAGCAACCACATCTCAACAGTGAGTATAAATCTCTTACTTTAATAGTTTTTCTGTTTTTTTTATTTCACGTTGAGTCAGTTGTAAAACTTGTACTTTTCAGTGTTTACATGAGGACGTGTTAAAACACTGTTTCTATGCATGAAACACCAGGTAGAGCTCAGTTACTGTTAAAGGTGCAAAGGAACGTGACTTTTCCTGTTTAGTCAAAGTTAAACACGAGACGTGGAAATTAATTTCAACCATAACCCTCAGTAGCTATGTTTACATGTGCAACATTCTTTGATCGGATTGAAATGTATTTGGATTAAATAATCCAAATGCATCGTTTACATGGGCACAGATGACTGGATTGAACTGTTTTTTTTCTTCATTTGATACATCACCACCATCCTCATCATCATTATGATGATCCTCTCGTCCTCTTCATCACAACATCTCATCCTCTTCCTCCTTTTAAATACAAGCAGAAACTCCTTGTTTGAAAAGTTTTCTGCAGAGTTTACACTTTCAGCTTCATGCCACCCTGACTGCCATCACACAGCCGTTCTGGCCAATCAGAGGCCATCACATCTCACTAATAGACTGCCAACTGGTCAGCGAACACACAGACACACACAGACGCACACACTCGCACATGCACACACATACACACACAGTCAGAGGGTGGTGACCTGCTATTACTGAAGTTTTCTGCCTCACTGCAGCCTGGTAATGATGGTCAGCTGAGAGAAAGAGGTGTGTGTGTGTCGGTGTGAGTGAGCGCGCGTGTGTGGGCACTGTAATGTGTCGGTTGAGTAACTAACTGATTGACAGTGAGGGAGGGGGGATGACATACGGAGTGACAGCACACGAGGAAAAGAAATGGAAAAAAACAGGAAAGTGCGAGTGTGTTGACCCGTCCAGAGTTCAACGTCAAACCTTTGGCCATGAAATGGACACACACACACACACACACACACACACACACACACACACAC